TCAAGTTTTAAGTTAGATTTTGAATCCAGATTTTATATGTGGTCTCAGACTTTTGGACCCCACTGTATATTTACAGTTTATTAACAGCGGTTCTCAACTGGTAGTTTTCTAAATTCAGATAATTAAATACACCATAGTTAAATCAATAAATAGGATTATCCACTTGAAAAAGGAACGGAGAAAACTTCCTATAATTTTCTTTTAGATAACAAAGTACAGTACTTTAAGTATAATGTTTAATTTTCCACAATAAACCTCTTGACATCGGCCATTAAAGCCTGGTCAATGACTAGTTAAAAGTAAAGGCTGAGATGAATGCTGACATCACTGTTTGCTTTGATTCTACGGTAAAAAGATAGTTTTACCTTGGGTCAGGTTGTCCTGCACTATAAGGCTGATGTGCACTGTTGTACTGTCACCATTTACAATCTATCACTGAGAACTGAGAATAAGTTTGTGAAGCGATTAAGCACAACAAGGCATGAGAGCACAAACAGCTGTTGGTCTGAAAGGCGCCAGAGGACGATCTGAAACAGGCCGTTTCTCTCAAGTAGTTGCATTACGATATCTGCTAAAGTCTAGCAATGAAGCGACAGGGAAGGGGGGATTGGTCAGAGAATCACATCGCCTGCTTTTCCTATCTGAGGAGGCCTGGGCTCTCCTAAAATGGCTGCTATCAGAGCCTCCGGAGCGCTGACGGGAGACACTGGGCTCCGTGGACTGAGAGGACTGAGGGAGGGCGAAGTTAATGCGTCTGGAGAAACCAGACGCTCTTTCTTGGCGTTGGCCGAAGGGCGCGGGGAGGAGCTCCGTGCTGGGCCGTCGCGGGGACGTGGGCACAGGCTGAGAGACTGCAGGGAGGGAAGAGGTGTCCCGGAGAGCGCCGGTACGGCGGGGCTGCGGCTGCGCTGGCGCTTCTGGTGATGCCGTTTGCTGCTGTGGTTTCCAGGGCTGGGGCTACGAGAGATGGGGGCCAACAGCACCAGCGTACTGTCATCTTCAGAGCTGACGTCAGAACTGTCAGAGCGCGAACGACACCCTGGTGCCGGCGGCGTAGACATGGGCAGCTGCACCTGTGAGGAAAAACAAAGAGGATGAAA